GAGCGAGAGAGATAGGAAGGGGCCAGATGGCGAAGAGCCTGGAAGGTCAGACCAGCACAGGCTTCATGCTGTAGAGTCCAGAGTGGAGACCAATGGCTTTCAGAGATTTTGCTCTGTAGCCCCTAAAAGAAAAACAGCTATGTACCCCTTCCACATTTTAATGGATGCAAAGGGTATAATTCCAGGCTGACTGTAAATATTACAGTAGAAATAATACATGAATCTTCTATATGTATCCCAGTAAATCTAAATACTATAGAGATTTATATTTATTCTTATCTACTTAAAAATATTTGATTAAATGTTGATAAACCCTCTCCTTGAATTCATATTTCAATAAAAAGTCTACTGCCTTGCATTTTCCTTCAATTATTGAATTTTATCCCAACGTAACATACTTTTATTGTTGAAAGTATTTTATTGACTACACTACTTCTTAACATTAAAATAGGTATAAAATTTAAGTAAAAATTTTAATTTCTTGTTAACATAACATCTAAGTATTAAAAAATTCTTCTGGATAGTTTCCTTTATGAATAAAATTAACTTACCAGAATAATATGTATTGCCAATCTGGTAAACAAGTCTTAAATAATAAAGGTACATTCTTATTGAAATTACATCTCTTAATGAGATGGTTAGGCCTTTCAATTAGTACCCATATCTACTAAAAAATATTACTTATTCACGTAAAGTGACAAGGTTCAGAATCACGTCTGTTCCCATTTCATTTTAAGAAGTAAGTGCTAAGAAAACACATTTACTTAACTAAGTCAATGGGAATGAAAGGACTTTTGATATAGCAAAGTCACTTAATGCATTAACTCCTCAGTTAGATGTCAAAAATCTTATGAGTGATCTGTCTTCGAGAATTATCTCAAATGATCTATCATCACTTGACAACTCTATTAGATTCCCATTCAATCGCATCGAAAGCAAAGCACAAGAAACCACCTGACTTGCAAAAGCGTTTGTTATCTAGTCACTTTCTCAATTTCTGGGAAATACAAGAAATGTTTTGCAAAGACTTATCTTATAATTATGTCTGTTACAATTTCACTTGGAGAGACCTTGTTCAAACCTAATGTACTCAGAAAAAATTGGGAAGCTGAGCCATTACTTTTTTCAATGCACTTTTGCCTGCACGGTATTTTAAGTAAAATCTTTTATCTTAATGCGTGCTTCGTATATATTTTTGTCGCATGTTGGCTCTGCAGAATTAGCTCATTAGGTTGTGAAAAAATGTCCTCCATGTAAATCTCAATGGCCTAGTCAGGTCTTTGACATGTAAGTGGCGAGATGATGAAACGTCTTCTCGGCCAGCAGCGGTGGCTTGCGAACAAGTGTTCAGTTACCGAGAAGCAGAGAAAATGAAATTTCTGTATATACAAATTGTGATCATACATTTGCAACCCTCTCTGCTGGCTGTGTCTAAATATTCCTTATTTTTGCCAGTGACACTGTCATTTTGCCATTCACATTGGCTTGAAACCATAGAACACCTCTTATTATTTAAACTATAACGTCACCTCCGACCCTCTGTTAGGGTGTGGGGGTGGGAAGAAGGGTGGGTAGAAGGGTTTTTAACTGAGTCTGAAGGCATTTTATATATGTAACCAAACATGAATGAGGGGGAAAATGTGTGCTTTTCTTTCACGTTTTGTAAGACTTCCCAAGCACCAAACAGTGCTAAAAAAATAAAAATAAAAAAATCCTCAATGAATTAATTTTAATGTCAATGACTTTGGAACGTAAGGATTACTTTGCCCCTAAATCACCCACGTAAAGAAAATGTTTTGGAAAAAATAATTAATTCGATAATATTTGAAAAGTGGCAGAAAGGGCCCAGTAGGATCAGGTTTGCTTAGTGATCAAATGGGATGTACAGCTCAGTGCGAATGAACTATGATAAATTGAAAAAGGGACGCTTGGGGCTTCGCCCAGCTTAGTTCTGAGGCTGGACTCTGTTCAAGATCATGTCTTCTGACCAGGTCTGCTGTTTGGTTCCCAGGGCGCAGGTTCCCTGTGGGACGGGAGCTAGTTGTTTATGGTGGGGAGGTTGACTCAGTCCCTCAGTAACATCTGTGTGGCTCCTTTTGGAGTATCTCCAGTCCCCACGACCCCCCCATCTATGACAGCTGGCCCCTCCCTTATGACCTTGGCAGCCACGTCTCTACTGGGAAGTGTTCTCACTCCCACCTGCCTCTTACCCGGCAGATTCTTTCTGCTGGGAAGCTGATTGGCAGCCAGAACAGCAATCCGTCTCTGTGTGGACTGAACTATTACATGCGAACTCTGGACTGTGAGAGCCACAGTTGGTCGAAGGGCCAACCTTCTAGCTACCTTCCTCCCACATTGCACCAAACATGTGAGTGAAGCTGTCTTGGATCATTCCAGAACCACCGATCTTCCATCTGAATCCCACTTAGTGACCTCTGTTAATCCTACATGGAGCAGAAGAATCACTAGCCAGACTCCAAAACATCCTTGACCCACCACATTACGATATAACGAGATGGTTATGTTTTAAATATTTTGTTGTGCATCCATAGGCAACCAGAACAACCCCGTCCTGGATCCTTTCAGCACCCCCTTTGAGTTCTCTGTGCCTCATTAGGAATGGGCAGGGAGGGGAATGCATATCTCAGGTCTGCTTTGAAGCAGTGGAGGCCCAATATCTCAGACAACTTGCCTAAATCTAAACATCTAATTTGTGACCATCCTAGAAGTAGACCTTGTTTCACTTAAGCCTTTCCTCAGGCGTATCTCCACTAGATGGGCTTGAGGGTCTTGTTTGGAGAAATGAAATGGTGGTAAATAATTATTTGACAAAACTGAATGGTGGGTGAGGATGGCCTCCTCGACATGGTTCTTGGGAGTCACTGACCTCTGCTTCCAGGACTCCCAGGGAATCTGGGTCTGAAAGTTTTAATTTAAAAGGAGACTTTGGCATTAGAGGTATGTTCACAATCATGTGTAATTACCCGGGGTCATGGTTTTCTGAGAAATAGGACTAATTTAGATATTTTCTGTGCTGTCTCTAGAAATAATGTGTCAGAATCTGAGTCCAGATTTTCCATTGGTAAGATGTGGCGGTCATGCTTACACTTTGGGTTCTTTTTCTGAGTGTTCGTTGAGTAATTGCTACCAGGAGTTCTGAGTCTCCTTGGCTCCAACAACTGACCCACGAAAACGCCTGCCACTGTCTGGAAGCTCCAGGGATAATATGAACATCAATGGTCTTTCCTACTTTTACTCCTCTCCAAAAGTAGTCCCCAAAACCAAAAAAAATATCAGGAACTTGGAAATAAAATACTTCAGTGAAAGACGAAAGAACCGTATCTCAGTGAATGTTTGATGTTTCCAGGTGACCGTCTTATGGTCGGCAACCCTGGGTTCCCTGAGAGAAAGGGGAAACTGAGGTCCTCCAGTCCTTAGCTTGTACAAATGCTCCAAATTTACATGCACGGCCTCAGTTCTCACAGCGTCCCTGTGAGGGGGGGATTGTGTTTCATCAATAGGAACACGGAGTCGTGGGAGGGTTAAGTAACAGGTTAACACAAGGCCTCACAGACAGGGAGGGATCGAGCACAGGGGAAGGG